AACAGAGCTTGAATTGAATGATTCACCTGGGTACAATACCAGGCTGTATATAGTCTCGACACAAGGCCAGTTACCCAGGTGTTACACGAATGTTCTGAGGTTCGCGAAGCACCCCGAACAGATGCTTCCCGAACTCAGTAGAAAGCAATTCGATGGAAACCGAATAGGTTTGAGTTCGGTACACGTAACCTGGTTCGGTGCTTCAACTATAATAAAATATAGGAATGCACCTAACCTAAAAAATCAAGCATCTATGCATGATAAAATAAACCCAAGCTAGTAGTAGCATAATAGAGTCCAGGCAAGGTAGCAAAGCCAGCATAAGCCGTCGTACTCTCACACGTCCCCCCCTCAAAGCTGGGTGGCGTGAGATACACCCTGCTTGACAAAATAGTCCTTGAGAGCACGACGTGCATTGCCCATATTAGCTTCTGCAACCCAAGTGTTTTCCGTGTGGTTGTATCCCTACCAGCGGATCAGGAACTCGAGGGTCTTGCCGTCGCAGCGCCGATGAGTGAGAATGTGCTCCATTTCATACTCTGGTTCATCCTGTATGAGAACAGTTGGTGGTGGCGGTATCTGCCATCCCTGGAACTGTTGGTTGGGGTCCTTGTAGAGCTTCAGTAGCTGAACATGGAAAGCGTTGTGAAGCTTCCATGTAGTAAGTAAGCGCAAGCGGAATGTTACTGGTGTCACCTGTGCCTCTATGAGAAATGGACCACAGAAGCGAGGCCGGAGTTTGGATGGTAGGTGAGACAAGTTCAAGTTGCGGGTGTCGAGAAGCACATGATCTTTGACTGCTACTCAGTGATCTCGTCGTTGGCGATCGGCATATTGCTTCTGGGAGTCCTACATCGTGGTGAGTCGTCGCCGATTCTTCTCCCAAAGCTGCTGCATGGTGGTGACGAAGTCGTGTGCGGCTTGGATGTGTGCCAGTGTGGTTGGCTGCTGTGGTGTGAGTGGTTCCCGTCCGTAACACAGGAAGAAAGGAGTTTTCCCTATGGCCGCATATGTCGCGTTGTTGTAAACGAACTCTAGGGTCGGTAACTGTGTGTCCCAGTGGCTGACGCCGTCTTTGTAAGCTGTACGCAGTAACTCTTCAACCACTTGATTGAGTCGCTCTGTCTGTCCGTCATTCTGGGGATGGTATGCTGAAGACATCGCAAGCTTAGTCCCCAACAGTCCCATGAGCTCCTTCCAGAACTTACTGGTGAATTTAGGGTCTCTGTCTGAGATGTGTGTAGCAGGGATGCCATGGATGGTTATGATGCGGTCAAAGAAGAGGCGAGCAGTTGCTTCAGCTGAAGCCGTGGCGTTGGTCAGAATGAAGTGACCCATTTTGGAGAACTTGTCGATCACAATGAGTATGAAGTCGAAGGAAGTCCCGTGTGTCAAACATTATACATGTTCATATTGTGTAGGCTATAGTGGGTTTAGCCTTAGGGGGTACAACATTGCTAGGGTTTCCTACTTGTATCACCCTGCTGCCTAGTTTCACACATTCTCGTTCAGTTCTACATTCTAACATGGTATCACAGCCTAGGTTGCTACCTAGGACCGCTTTCTCCTACGGGCCCACTATTCCGCTAGACGCGCCCTCGTGCGTCCTACCTTACGTGCGCCCTCGTGCGCCTTTCTATACTCGTGCGCCCTCGTGCGCCCTACCTTACGTGCGCCCTCGTGCGCCCCTGTGCGACCCGCCCTTCGGTCTGCCCGCGTGCCGTCCTGCAGCCCTCGCGCTGCCTCCTGCAAGCTAGTACGGCCCTCGAGCCGCCCCTGCAGGTCCGTCAGGCCCCCGAGCCGCCTCTGCAGACCCGTCAGGCCCCCCCCGAGCCGCCTCTGCAGGCCCGTCAGGCCCGAGAGCCGCCCCTGCAGCCAGCGCGCTGCCCTGCCGAGCCGCGTGTCGCCCGTGGGCGCTGCCTCTGCCCCGTCGCGCTGCCCTGGGGAGCCGCGCGCGACCCCCGCTGTCCCGTCGCGTCGCCCTGGGGAGCCGCGCTCGGCCCCCGCTGCCCTGTCGCGACGCCCTGGGGAGCCGCGCTCGGCCCCCGCTGCCCTGTCGCGACGTCCTGGGGAGCCGCGCTCGGCCCCCGCTGACCCGTCGCGACGCCCTAGGGAGCCACGCGCGACCCCCCCGCTGCCCCGTCGCGACGCCCTGGGGAGCCGCGCGCGGCCCCCCCCCCCCCCCGCTGCCCCGTCGCGGCGCCCTGGGGAGCCGCGCGCCGCCCCCCCCCCCCCCCTCGCTGCTGCCCGAGCCACCCTGCAGCCCGCGAGCCGCCTCTGCAGCGCCGAGTGCGCTCTGCCAAACCCTAAAATAAATAATTAATTATTAAAAAAAAAAAAAAAAAGGGAGCAGCTGCCCCTGGCCCCTGGAGCAGCCGCCCCTGGAGCAGCCGCCCCTGCAGCAGCCGCCCCTGCAGCAGCTGCCCCTGCAGCAGCCACCCCTGGACCTCTGCAGCCGCCCCTGGCCCCTGGAGCAGCCGCCCCTGCAGCTGCCGCGGAGCCCTCGCCCTGCAGTGGTAGCGGCCTCGCCGTTACCACCGTCGTACGCCTGCCCTTCTCGCCACTGGTGAGCACTGCCCTGCCCGTATTGCTGTTACTGCTGCTCCTGCTGCTACTGCTCTTTCTACTTCTACTGCTGCTCCTGGCGTGGCCAGATGCAGCTCCAGCGCCGTCCGCGTGAGTCCCTCACGCCCCAACAGCTTCGTGAGTGGTATGCTGGTTGGGGTTGTAGGGGTGGCCGCGCTGCTGCTACTACTACTGCTGCTACTACTGCTACTGCTGCTCCTGGCGGTGGCCAGATGCAGCTCCCGCGACGTCCGAGTGAGTCCCTCACGCCCCAGCAGCTTCGTGAGTGGTACGCTCAGCGTGGAGGGTCACGGGGTACTGCTCGCTGCCCGTACGTCATTCGCACTGGTGCTCGGACTGGTCAGCCTTGCGGGACGTTTGGTCACACAGAGTCCCGCTGCTTCGCCCGTCTGAGCGACGCCTGGCGTACAGAGTTTGGCGACGCGGCTGAGCTCCCCGACTGGGTGGAGCTGCTTAGGCAGAGGGTAGATATCTATGCTCTTGACTATGATGCTATCCTCACTGCCATGTATGCATTTCCTACTAGTGCTGAGAGTGCCTGTCACCTGTGTGTGCCGCCTGACCCCGGTATCCAGTCTGCTGCTCTAGGTACTGGTGAGGCTGCTGCACTAGGTGCTCGTGTGTCTGTTGCCCCAGGTGCTGGTGAGGCTGCTGCTCTAGGTACTCGTGAGTCTGCGCCCTCTGGTACTGCGTCTACTGAGGCACTGCACACCTTCACACTGGACTCAGGCGCTTCCCGCTGTTTCTTTCGTGACCGCACTGCCCTTGAGCAGCTTGCTCGGCCGGTTGCAGTCTCCCTCGCTGACCCCTCTGGGGGTCCGGTCATTGCGACCTCCTCTACTGTTCTCCCTTGTCCTGCGGTCCCGTCGGGCACTCTGTCAGGTCTCTACCTCCCCTCGTTCTCTACGAACTTGGTGGCGGGTAGTGCGCTCCAGGACGGGGGTGTCCACCAGTTTACCCCTGCCTACGAGCGTGTGACACACTGCACGTGCGCTCGGACGGGCCGCCACCTAGCTACCTTCACTCGGCAGCCGGGGTCGGACCTGTACACACTGACCACTGAGTCCCCACAGGTAGCTGCGTCTGCGTCTGTGTCAGGTCAGCTGTCTGCCCCCTGCTCGTGTCGCTCTCTGGCACACGAGACTGTCCTCTGGCACCACCGTCTTGGTCACCCGTCAGTGCAGCGCCTTCGTGCCATGCACAACCGGTACCTTGTCTCTGGTCTTCCCAGGGTTCTCCCTCCACTCCCACCCTCGCCTGCTCCTCCCTGCCTTCCCTGTGTCGAGGGGCGGCAGCGCGCCGCTCCTCACTCCTCCTCGTTTCCCCCGACGACTGCTCCCTTGCAGACGCTCCACATGGACGTGTGGGTCCCAGCCCGCGTCCGTGGACAGGGTCAGGAGAGGTACTTCCTGATCGTTGTTGACGACTACTCGCGCTACACCACGGTCTTCCCCTTGCGCACCAAGGGTGAGGTCCCTGATGTTTTGATCCCTTGGATCCGCGCTTCTCGTCTCCAGCTCAGTGAGCGGTTCCACTCGGACTTTCCTGTCCTGCGTCTGCACTCTGACAGAGGTGGTGAGTTCTCCTCTGACCTCTTGGCAGCCTACTGTGCGGAGCACGGCATCCGCCAGTCGTTCACGCTTCCGGCCTCTCCACAGCAGAATGGGGTTGCTGAGCGCCGCATTGGTTTGGTCATGGAGGTCGCTCGTACCTCCTTGATCCATGCGGCTGCCCCCCACTTTCTGTGGCCGTTTGCGGTCCGATACGCTGCGCATCAGCTCAACCTCTGGCCCCGTGTCTCCGTTCCGGAGACTTCGCCGACACTGCGTTGGACGGGAGAGGTTGGCGATGCGTCGCGTTTTCGGGTCTGGGGATCCCGAGCTTTTGTTCGCGATACGTTCGCGGACAAGCTCTCCTCCCGCGCTGTTCCCTGTGTCTTCCTTGGCTTTGTCCCGGACGCGTCTGGTTGGCAGTTTTACCACGCCACCTCGCGCCGTGTCCTGCCCTCTCAGGACGTCACTTTTGACGAGTCCGTGCCCTACTACCGCCTCTTCCCCTACCGCACTGCCCCGCTCCCCCCCCCGCCTCTCTTCCTCACGCCAGGTGCTGCTGTGGTAGACCCCCTCCCCCCTCAGGGTGCCGCTCCCTCAGGTGTGTCCCAGGTAGACCCGGTTGAGCCTGTCGAGGTAGCTGTCGACTCTCGTCCTGCCAGGGGTGCTGAGCCTGAGCGTGCGGAGCCTGGGGTTGCGGAGTCTGGGGGTGCTGAGCCTGGGGGTGCGGGGTCTGGGGGTGCGGAGCCTGCGGGTGCTGAGTCTGGGGGTGCTGAGCCTGGGGGTGCTGAGCCTGGGAGTGCTACGTCTGAGAGTACTGAGCCTGAGCGTGCTGCACCTGGGGGAGGCCTCTCCTCGCAGCAGCTGCGTGAGTGGTACTTACAGTACTGCAGCCTCAGGAGAGGTGCTTCTGGAGCTCGGAGTGGTGCCGGAGCTGGTGCTAGTGCTTCCCCTCCTAGGCGGGAGCTGTCCTCTCCCGAGCAGCTCCGAGAGTGGTACTCTAGGCGCTGCAGTCTCCGGAGTGGCGCTCCCGGTGTCGTGGACTCTGGAGCTTCTGGAGTTACTGGAGGTGCTGCTGCTGCTGGTGGTGCGGCTGGCGCTGCTAGAGGTGCTACTGGTGCTGCTGGAGCTGCTGGAGGTACTGCTGCTACTGGAGGTGCTGCTGGCGCTGCTGGAGGTACTACTGGTTCTGGTGCTGCTGGAGCTGCTGGAGGTGCTGCTGCTGCTGGCGGTGCGGCTGGCGCTGCTGGAGGTGCTGCTGGTGCTGCTGGCGCTGCTGGAGGTGCTATTGGTGCTGGAGCTACTGGAGCTGCTGGTGGTACTGCTGCTGCTGGCGGTGCTGCTGGCGCTGCTGGAGGTGCTGCTGGTACTGGTGCTGCTGGAGCTGCTGGAGGTGCTGCTGCTGCTGGTGGTGCTGCTGGCACTGCTGGAGGTGCTGCTGGTACTGGAGCTGCTGGGGACCCTGCTGCTGCTGGCGGTGCTGCTGGAGCTGCTGGGACTGGCCCTGCTGAGGGGGTTGGAGCTAGAGGTGCTGAGCGGCCACGGCCGTACTACGTTCCGCTCCTTCAGCAGGTTCTTGGCCTTCCGCCCTCTCCTGGTCCTACTCCTCCCCTACTGAGTCCACCGCTTGTCCAGTCGCAGTCACAGTTACAGCCAGTCTCTCCACTTCCTGGTCCTTCTCTCTACACTGCGCCGACGGGAGGTCTTACGGAGCGTCGTGAGCCTGAGTCTCGTCCTCCGTCGCTTGAGACTCGTCCAGAGTCGTCTGAGTCGCGTCCAGAGTCGCCTGTCCGCGCTGTCCGCGCTGGTCGTCGTGTTCCACGTCAGCGTCCTCCTCCTGTCCTTGGCACTCATATATGACCCTGCGTCCCTCTACTGCTCCACAGCGTGTCCCACTGCCGTCTCCACCAGCGTCCTCTCTTCCTGCTCTTGCTGACCCGGAGTCTGACTCTCTTCGTGCTGCCAGTCCTACTGTCACGCGTCTCCTTGCCACTGCTGTCACTGACCCTTCCTTTGAGTCCTCTGCTGCGTCTGCTCTAGTCGCTGAGCTTGTTGACTTTGCTGCTGCCTGTCGTCTAGACTACGCCGCTAGCCTTGTTGCTGAGTCTGAGTCTGAGTCTGTCTGTCCTCCGTCTGTCGGGGGTGAGTGTGCTCTTGGCACGGACGTCCTTGAGGACAGACAGGAGGAGTTTGAGTGCTTTGCCGCTGCTTTGCCTCATCTCGTGTCCATGCTAGTTGCCCCTGAGGGAGACCCGGATGCACCAGACATCCCGACCCCACGCTCCTACGCAGAGGCGATGGAGGGTCCCTACTCCTCTCAGTGGCAGACAGCCATGGACGCAGAGATGGCTTCCTGGAAGTCCACAGGCACCTACGTCGACGAGGTTCCCCCACCTGGGGCGAACATCGTCAGTGGCATGTGGATTTTCAGGGTGAAGCGGCCGCCGGGTTCTCCGCCTGTCTTCAAGGCGCGTTACGTTGCACGAGGCTTCAGTCAGCGAGAGGGAGTTGACTTCTTCCAGACCTTCTCCCCGACCCCGAAGATGACCACTCTTCGGGTTCTGCTGCACGTCGCTGCTCAGCGTGACTACGAGCTCCACTCTCTTGACTTCAGCACTGCGTTCTTACAGGGCAGCCTGCACGAGGAGATCTGGCTGCGCCGCCCACCTGGCTTCACTGGGTCGTTCCCTCCTGGTACCCAGTGGAGCCTCCGGCGGCCAGTCTACGGTCTCCGCCAGGCACCCCGTGAGTGGCACGACACACTGAGGACTACTCTTGCTGCTCTTGGGTTTGCTCCTTCTACTGCTGACCCATCGCTGTTTCTACGCACCGACACGACTTGGTCTTTGCTACTGCTGACACTGAGGCACTCGCCCACGTGAAGTCGGAGCTGCAGAAGAGACACACGTGCACAGACCTGGGTGAGCTGACAAGCTATCTTGGCTTGCGGATCACCCGGGACAGAGCACAGCGCACCATCACCTTGACTCAGTCACACATGGTGCAGCAGGTCCTTCAGCGCTTCCGCTTCACGTACTCCTCGCCTCAGCCCACTCCTCTGCCTACCGGTCACTCGCTCTCAGCTCTGCCTTCGGATGAGTCCGTAGAGCCGAATGGCCCGTATCCAGAGCTTGTGGGCTGCCTCATGTACCTGATGACCTGCACTCGACCTGACCTGGCATACCTTCTTAGCATCTTAGCACGCTATGTCTCTCCCGGCCGTCACCGGAAGGAGCACATGGATGCCGCTAAGAGAATGTTGCGCTACTTGTGCAGTACGTCGGGCATGGGGCTCGTGCTTGGAGGTCGGAGCGACGTTGTCCTCACGGGTCACTCAGACGCTTCTTGGGCTGACGACCAGGCTACGCAGCGGTCGTCTCAGGGTTACACCTTCAGCCTTGGCTCTGGTTCAGTTTCTTGGCGTTCTACTCGCTCTTCTTCTGTTCTCAGCTCCAGTTGTGAGGCTGAGATCTACGCCACAGCCATGGCTGCACAGGAGTTACGCTGGCTCACCTACCTGCTGACCGACCTGGGAGAGCGGCCTCGTTCTCCTCCAGTGCTGTACGTTGACAACAAGGCCGCCATTGCCTTGTGTGAGGAGCACAGACTGGAGCACAGGATGAAGCACATCGCTCTGCGCTACTTCCTTGCTCGAGAGCTGCAGCAGCGTGGTCAGCTTCGTCTGCGTTACGTGGCCACTCGGGCCAACACTGCTGATGTGTTCACCAAGGCGCTTCAGCCTTGTGACCATCAGCGTTTCTGTACTGTTCTAGGCCTTGTGCCTACTCTCCCTCACTTGCTCACTTCTTGACTCTGCTTGTACTGTGATCTCTATATATATATACCTGCATGTTTACTCTTGTTAGGTTGTGAACACTGTACCTCTTGTTATATTATCAAACTGCATGTGAACTGGTCTTGTGACCACTTGCTTGTGCTCGGAATTTGTGTGGTTTCCTTGAGATCCACCCTGAGCTTGCTTTGCTTTGCTTTGACTGGTCTTGTGACCATCTGGTTGTCTCCCACTTAGCCTATGGGGGTGTGTCAAATATTATACATGTTCATATTGTGTAGGCTATAGTGGGTTTAGCCTTAGGGGGTACAACATTGCTAGGGTTTCCTACTTGTATCACCCTGCTGCCTAGTTTCACACATTCTCGTTCAGTTCTACATTCTAACACCGTGATGAAGTCGAGGTTAACGACCTGCCATGGCTGCTCCGGTACGGGTAGAGGCTGAAGTAACCCTGCTTTTTTGTGCTTGCTACTCTTCATCCACTAGCACGTATCGCAAGAGGTGACGAACTGCTGCACGTCTGCTGCCATCCCGGGCCAGTAGTAATACTTTGCTATCCTTGCTAACGTCTTTTTTCTCCCAAAATGTCCCGCGTATGGTACGTCGTGAAACTCCTCTAGCAAAATTTGTCGGGGCGGGGCATAGTTTGGTACCAAAATCTTTCATGTGCCCTTCCTTACAGCTAAGTCTTTCTCCCACTGTAACAGCTTCTGTTTCTTTGCCATAAATCTCTGCGTCCACGGAGTTCCCATGTTGGAATAGTCCCTTGAGCAGAGAGTTCATCCCATCGATCTGGATGCCTGCTACATGTCCGGGGTGGCTTAACGCATCTGCCTAGTTGTGTAGTCCGGGCTTGTAGATGATGTCGCAGTGGAAATGAGTTTCCAGGAAGTCCACCTACCGCACCTGTCGTCGAGAGAGCGTCGGCTGCGACTTCAGGCATTTGAGACTGCAGTGGTCAGTATAGACTGTAATCTTGGCTCCCTGTAGGTAACACCTCCACGCATTGAAGGCTATGACTATCGCTAGGGCTTCCTTGTCATGGATGGGGTAGTTCAGTTATGCTCCGTGTAATTTCTTACTGAGATAAGCGATAGGCTGCAAACCGCGTCCGTGATCCTGCAGCAGTACTGCTCCGACTGCTTCCACCACGTAGTCCTTGTCGGGGTCCGGTAGGATGAGTACTGGCGTTGTGGTCAGTGCTGTCTGTAGCTGCTCATGGCTTGCTGATGAGGAGTATCCCATTCGTAGGGCGTATCCCTTTTCAGTAGGTCGGTCAGTGGCGCTGCTATCTTAGCGTACTGCGGCACGAACCTGTTGGCGAAGCCTAGGAACTGCCACAACTCCTTCACGTTCTCTGGTACTTTCCAATTCTTGACGACTTTGATCTTCCGCAGGTCCACGTGTACGCTTTCCGCACTCACCATGTACCCGAAAAACTGCACCTTTTTCAGGGCGAGGTCGCTCTTCAATAGCTTCACGTAGAACTTGTTATTCCGCAGGATGTCGAAGACTTTCCGCAGATGCTCCACGTGCTCCTTCATGTTCTTGGAGCAGATGAGGATGTGGTCCAGGTACACCACCACGCACTCGTCCAGCAGGGGCCGTGGGATATGGTTCATCTCCACCTGAAAAGTTGCTGGTGCGTTGCAGAGTCCGAACGGCATCACCAAGTATTCGTAGGAGCCGTATCTGGTACGGAACGCCGTCTTGTGGATCGAGTTGTCCGCCATCTTGATCTGCCAGTATCCCGACCGTAGGTCCAACTTTGAAAAGACTTTTGCACCACGCAGTTGGTCTAGTAGGTCGTCTATGCGCGGTATGGGATATTTGTTTTTTGCTGTCTGCTTGTTCAGTGCACGGTAGTCGATGCACATCCGTAAACTGCCGTCTGGTTTTGGAGTGAAGAGAACTGGTGCACCGTAAGGAGAGGTGGATGGGCGGATTAGTTGTCTGTCCAGTAGATATTCTATCTGCTTCTTCACGTCCGTCAAATCTATCGGACTCAGTCGGTAAGGTGCACAAAAGATGCGTTTTGCATCTGGTTCCTCCACGATCTCGTGCCGGAAGTACGCCTGCAGGTAGGTCGTCGGGCATTATATCCTTGTACTGCTCCAAGACCCCCTTCACTGCTGCAGATAGCCCCGTACTCAGCTTCTCCTCCTCTGCTGTTGCCATAACCAGTGCTAAGTAACCCGTGCTGCTCTCGTTCACCGTCCGTTCGAACCGTACCAGTGTCGTTTCAGGAACGCTCCCTGTATCCCTCGAGCTTCGTAGCTCCACTCGTTTCCCGTTTTTGTAGATGCACGCAATCCTGTTGACCCAGACAATCTCGGGGTTTAGGAAATCTCACCCCAAGATGAAATCTAAACCCTTGATGTTCGTGATCGGCAACGTCGGCTTCCACCTCAACGCCCCTATGTGCAGCTGCAGTGATGCTTCGCCGTGGATGGGAGTTTTCGTACCGTCCACCATCGTTGCCGTAAAATTGGTCTCCTCCGAAGGTTCTCCAATTTTCTCCAACGTCTCGCGGTTGCACACCGAGTGGGACGCACCACTGTCCACTAGTGCCTGGAGGCGTCGTTCGTTGCAGATCACCTCAAGGAGTAGTGGTTGTTGCCGCTCCGAATAACCGTAGATGGTCTCGCTTATAAGATCTTAGGGTACGCCGAATAGATCATCCCTCGGTCCTGCGCTCGAAGCTGCTGACTCCATATCAGTTTTCAACTGAGTAGGGTTGGAAGGATTTATCTGAGGCCACTTCAGCTTCGTCTTGGCCTGGAACCTTCCCCTAAGCCTTTGCAGCTGTGTAGGCTTCACTTGTGGGAAATAGGGAGCCTTAAAACTATGCTGCGGGGAGAGAATATTAACTCCTTGGAACGCACGACCCTTTTCAACGCTCTGGAGTGTTTTGCCCAACTTCTCAGGTACCTGAATAATCTCTTAGGGCTTTTTCTTATCCTCTAAATCTCCCTTGAATTTCTCAAAGGCTTGAAAACCTCGAGAGGAAATATTCTTACTCTCGGGGGTGTTCGGGTGGAGTTTCCCGGTCGGTGCACAGTCTTGTTTCGCGGAGCCTCCATTTGTCTCGGCTATTTCCTCTGTTGTTGGCCGGTCGTGACGTTTTAAATTCGCGCCATCATGTCCTCCCTTTTTCACCCGCTCCGAAGTCGCCGAGTCTTTTGACTTCGGGAGTGCCGCACTGTTGTTGCCCTTCAGCTCTGCTTGTGCCTTCTTCATTTTCTAACACTCCAAGAGTCGATGTCCTGCTACGCCGCAAAATTCACATTTCTTGTATTTTGCCGGCTGCTGCTTCGCGTCGATCTTGTCGATATCCATCGGGTCCGCGGTCGTGGGTGGTGACGATCGCTCCGTGCCGAATGAACTGTTCGGCACGCGTCGTCGTGTTTCGGGTTGACCTCGAGTCAGCGCATCGAATCTCTCTGCTGCACACACCATGTCGCAGTAGTTGTTGTAGTTCGCGGCAATCACCTGTCGGCGGACTTCCATCCTTAGCCCCTCAGTATACGCTTGGATTTTTTCTCCTTCGGTCAGGTCGGTAATTCGGTTGAAGAAGCTTTCCATCTGCTGCGTATACTTCGCCACACTGCCGAACTGTTTATGCCGATGAATTTGCTGCCGCGCCATGTAGGTTGAATTAATCAGTTCGAAACGTTGAATCAAAGCTGCCCGATGCTGCGTCCATGACCCCTCGCCTCGGATCTCATTACTGTTGTAAATCCACTCGAGCGCCGGGCCTCGCAACAGTGTCGCTGCAAGCCGAATCCGCATTGCATCGTATGTCGGGATCGTACAGCCAACGGCCCCGAAGTAAATTTCGAGGGTCGCAATGAATCGACGGATGTCGGCGTCTCTCTCGTTCGGATTGAACGTCTCCGGTAGTGTCAGACGTGTTGCCTCAAGATTCACTGTAGCCGCTACCGCTGCTGCTAGGTGAAGTGTCGGTGTCGCCGCTGCTGCATTCGCTGCTACGTTCGCTGTTGCCGTGGCGGCTACCGACTGGTTCGCAAAAAGCTCCTCTATTCGCTGGAGTGTTGCTCGCATCGGGTCCACATCGGTGTGTAACTCCATTATGTTTCGTACGGAATTATCACCATTTTCCTCCATTTGCCGACTTATAGGAAGATGCGCGACGAAAATATATGAGTTCTATGTGCTGGTCAACTTACTGCGAGACGAATCGACTGTAGAAATGACGAGCACTGATTCTATAGGTCGCGTAATCCTCCCTTAGTCGAAACTCGCGTCAGATCTCGGCCGTTGAGAAGATATTCGACCCGACGCTCCAAATTCCAACCTTTTTGGGCTAAATTCTCAGGGCCGTTGAGATTTGAATCGATCTAACGGTCGAAATTCCAACCATTTCGCCACTGGACCTGAGGAGTGTTCGAAAACCGGTTCGAGGGGGAGTTAAAAATATCGCGGAACTGGTTTATGTACCCGAAATCGGCACTTTTTGTCGTCGACCCCGCGGTTTTAAAAGCTAGGTTTTAGCGGTCGAAAAACTTCTCGTGCAAACAGGCTCTGTTTACCAAGTGTGAGGATCTAGGATTGAGCTATGGAAAGAGAGTTTGAATTGAATGATTCACCTAGGTACAACACGAGGCTATATATAGTCTTGACACAAGGCCAGTTACCCAGGTCTTACGCGAATGTTCTGAGGGTCACAAAGCGCCCCAACAGAACCTTCTTGAACTTAGTAGAAAGCAATTTGATGGAAACCGAATATGCTTGAGTTTGGTACACGTAACCTGGTTAACTGGGGTTAACCAAATAGGGTTGATTTTGGTGCTATAACGAAAATAAAATATAGGAATGCACCTAACCTAAGAAATCAAGCATAACTATGCATGATAAAACAAACCCAAGCTAGTAATAGCATAATAGAGTCCAGGCAAGCTAGCAAAGCCAGCATAAGCCGTCGTACTCTCATAATCAGGTTAACTGGGGAACGACGATTGGTGAAAGGGAATCGCTGGCCCTTTCGAACCGGGC